CATCCGAAGAAGTGGGCTGTAGTCCACGAAAGCTTATGCTCTAATAAATTTGTTAGTCTCTAAGGTGCCACAAGTACTCCTGTTCTTTTTGCAGATACAGACTAACACGGCTGCTACTCTGAAACCTTAATTTATCTATTTAATTCACAAGTACTGGCAGGCTCTCGATCCTTTGATTAGGGCAGCTGAAATGCTTCTGTCCTTCTAAACAACCAAGTTCAGAAGCACTCCAGTGCTAAGAGCTCTGCACACACACACGTGTTGTATTCTTTACATAATTCTTTGGACAAAAGTTACGAATGCAGATATCTTGAAGAGGAAAGAACTAGTTTAAGGAAACTGGGGAACATAGAAATGGACCGCAGTCTCTTATTGGTGTGAATCCAGATCAAATGTATTGGCTTCCATGGATTTTCCTTGAATCAGCAATGTAACATATTAGAATTAGCACATTATTACGAACAGCTTAATTCTATAGAGTAGAATTAAAAGATAAGTGACAGGATACCATTAACCTGTTTTACCCAGCACTCAACTCGGGGATGGAAATAGCCATCTACTATAGATGCAGAAGGGAATACTGGGAACATGAAATATTTTCTATTTCAGACAGACAGTTGTGTTTTCAGAGATAAGATGGGTGAGGTAGCATCTTTTATTGGACCAACGGCCTGTGGGTAAGAAAAAACAAGCTTTCTAGTTTTATTTTTAGACACCTAGGACCACTCTGCTCAGCATCTAATGCTATGCTACCCCTCACTGAACAGAATTGCCTCAGACAAAAAAACAAATTAGAACTCATTGTCCTTTTTCTTAGTGCACCATTTGATTAATTTCTCAGATGGAAGACTGATGGGTATGTCTAGCTGGATGCTGTGCTCCAACCACAGCGGTGGCTGCATTACAGTGGTGAAAGGATAGCGATATATATAGGTTGCAGAGGAACTGAGGCACCTCCAGGCATAAATGGACTAGATCAGTGTTTCCCAAACTTGGGGCGCCGCTTGTGTAGGGAAAGCCCCTGGCAGGCCGGGCCGGTTTGTTTACCTGCCGAGTCCGCAGGTGCGGCAGATTGCGGCTCCCACTGGGCGCGGGACGTACTGACAGCAGCTCCCATGAACTGCGGCCAGTGGGAGCCACGATCGGCCGAACCTGTGGATGCGGCAGGTAAACAAAGTGGCCCGGCCCACCAAGGGCTTTCCCTACACAAGCAGCGCCCCAAGTTTGGGAAACACTGGACTATAGGAACAAGGTATTAGCTGGACTTGGAAAGTATATGGTTTATTAGAAGTTTTCATATGGAAGTGTTCGGGCTGACGTTAATTGGCTAAACATGAATCAAGCACAAAGCTGAAATGCTGTTCTCTCCCAAACCCAACCTAAATAAGACATTTCTTCCTTATCTTTACAAAGCTACATACCGTTGGCATTCAAAGGTGCAGCTGCGACACCAGTTTGCGCAATCTTACATTTATTTGTGGTTATTCCCCTTCAGGGTTTAAACGTGCATCAGCAATATGAGCTAGCGCATCTGTATTTTAAAACCAGATTGTTGTTCTTCATGCTCTACTGTAACTAAATACGAGATGGTCTACAATGTACAGAAGAAAGCAATAATTTGAGATGCCAGCCACACACACTACTTTTGGCAGACTGATTCAGCGAACTAAAGTAGCTGCTAAACATTAATTCCTCTACTTCATAGAAGCTAATACACCTGAACAGCCTATGTCAAATAAGCCACCAGATTGAAGCCAAGCACCTGCTATTTCTAAATTGGTTCATTGAACATCTTTTCTTCCAAAGTCATCATTAAAAATAGTATGCCAGATGTTTCGTCATTATATTTAAGTGGGGATGTTCTCATCAGCACCTGTTTCCTCAGTAGCAAAAGGTCAGCCGTCTTTACCTTAGTAATAGTTTTCCTGTCCATCCAACATCTCTAGCTTTGATTTCTCCCAACGTTCCCTTTCCCAAAAAAAGTCCCATAGAAAAACATGCATTTTAAACACGAGTAGTTTTGTTTTTATTATGAATGGATAACTTTACAATGCAGTCATTTCTACTCCTCAAAACATGCTTAAAGTTCGCAGCTGAGGCATCAAGAATAGGTGGTGATGTAACTTCCTTCAACTGAAGATTGGCGAAAAATGTAACTACACACAAGTCCAAAAACTAATTCTGAAAAATTTAAGAAGGCTACAGTTGAGATGTCTCATGATCCAAGAGAGGCGCAAATCTTTTCCACCAACTGTGCACTGCAATCTTACAGAACTAAGGAAATGCAGCATAGAAGTAAAGGGTCAAGACACCATTTGTTCCAGTATGACGCACAAAAGGACAACTTTCAGTTTTATTATGTCATTAAGATAACATACTGCCTCAGGGCATGATATCAACATTTTTGCATGGCAAAGAATGATTAATTCCATCTACTGACTTTGGTAACAAAATCAAAGTTCGGATACTGCATACCATAGTAAATACTATTTAAATTCACTAATACCTACACAGGAAGGGATAAATATTCTGCTACCAAAGGCAAGGAGCAAGGACATGTACCAAAATGTTGGGAGGGTGCAGCAAGTCTGCTAGCTTTTCACAGATGGCCCCCAAATCACTGCCAAGTCTTTGCATCTTTCTTCAGGGTGTTAAAAAAAATCACGAACTGAAGATGAGCGCCACTTTTTTTAAAAAAAATCAACAATTAATCTTTCCAAAAAAATGCAGCATATTCAGGGTTCTATAAAGAGTATCAATTTTGCATTCCCAATTGAGGCACTTTTTTAATAAAAAGGGACTCCACCTTCAGATACCCAGGGCTAACTGCAAGGCCAACTTACTGCCATGCAATAAAAGTGGTGGATTTTTGAACAATGACCTCCTGAGCTTATTAATCCTTTCCCCTCCAGTACATACATTCACAGAGGGCATGAATGTACCACAGCCAAGGTCTCCTTGCCTTCATCTTCATTCCTGTGGCCCAAAGAGCCTTCATGAGAGAAAGATACAAAATGCTGGGTAGCAGTCTGCTTATAGGGAATGACAATGGTAGCAAAAGAAGGCATAATGAGAAGCCTAAAACGCATTTCAATGTGATGATGATATAAGAGGCAGCTCAACCTTTGCTACAGATCTGTATATTTTGCAAACCAGTCTTTAAATCCCATAATTGCAGAAGAGACAAGACATTTCCTTTCCCCAAGACTGACAGAACTGAACAGTTTCTAGAAACAAAAGATACAACCGGGGCTTCTCTTTACAAGAACAGCTTAAGCACATACAAGAGGCAAATTAAAGAGCAATTATAAATAAAATGTGATCAAAAACAAAACCAATTTTTAAACAGTTTATAAATACGTTTTAAATCAAGCCCAGCACACGCTCCCCTCCCACCCCCAAATAAGGTCTGTTTTAAGATGTCTTTAGTCTGGAGCTATTCTTTTAGTTCTTCTAATCCATACCTATTTCAGAGAATTGGTCACAGCACATATTTTCTGATTATCTAAGCTACATGGCTCATGGGTTTGACTACTTTTTTTTTTTTTGGGTAATCCAGTAATTTCAAAATACCAAACAGAAGCAGAAAAATCAAACATTAAAAACCTGCCAAAGGAAATAAAACAAACAGCCCAAATAAAACATTCTTAAATACATGAGGTAACATTTATTGGGCTCTTTAGAACATTTAACACAATATGAGGTTAGGTGCAGAGCTTTCCATTCTGCCAACTTCTTTTACAGTCTTTGTTAGATCATAACAGGGAATATTTCATTTGCTGGGTGACTAAAAGTCATTAAAAATTATGAAAGGCACAGTAAGACTGCCTTTATGACAAGTCAAAGCATTTGGATAAAGTCATAAGGATTTTCTTTTAGTTACAATTTTTAGTAAGATATGAGTTGTAAAAGTAGCATTTCTGACTGTAAACTACGCTAATAGTTTTAGTGCATATCCATGCTATCATAACCTTGTTACCGCCCACTGGAATGCAATCCTCATTCAGTGGTCATATGCATGGGACCATGGCTAAGAATTTAATTTAATAGAAGCAGAGGGCTTCCATAATTCAAGCAAAATAAGAAGTCTTAGAATAAGCTCTTTTTGTAATGGAGTTTGAAAACAGGGTCAAGTAATTTAAATGGAACTGACTGTAAATAAATGGCTTAAGTTTACTGTAATTAGAGCACTTCAGAGGAATCCACTAGTCTTCTGAAAAGCTGGCTGGGTATTCAGTCTTCTTTTTCTTTCCTCATTAGGCCCTGAAGAGGCAATGTCATTTCACTCAGCGAAAAACCCAGAATCCAAGGATCTTTCTTCTGAAAACTATACTACATTCTTCATTGTTCTTTGCAGATATTTTAAACAGAACAGTGGCAAACATGTTTTCTTTTTGAGCACAAGTTGTTTCACTTTTAAATCACACTAATTTCCAAAATGGAAAATTGTAATTAAGCAAACAAAAAGCAAAAAGTTTTTTTAAAAAATTGCTTATGAGCACCACCATTTTAAATGCTTTTTGCGTGCAAATGGTTTTCGAAGGCTGGCAACTGCACTTCTTGTAGCCAAACTAAACCTTCTTAAATGTTACTGTGACAATTTAGACAAAACATATTTAACCAACACACATTGTGTTACTTTCCAACTCATCTAATCATTG